TGGGTGCTGGATTTTATCAAATGCTTTTTCAGCATCAATTGATATGATCATATGGTTTTTATCTTTTATTTTGTTTATGTGGTGTATCACATTTATTGATTTGCGAATGCTGTACCAGCCTTGCATCCCTGGGATGAATTTCACTTGGTCATGGTGAATAATTTTCTTGATTTATTGCTGGATCCCATTTGCTAATATTTTGTTAAGGATTTTGACATCTATGTTCATGAGGGATATTGGTCTGTAGTTTTCTTACTTTGTAGTGTCTTTATCTCATTTTAGAATTAAAATTATGCTGGCCTCATAAAATGACTTTGGAAGTCTTTATTCTTCTTGAATTTTTTGGAATCGTTTGAGCAGAATGGGTGTTAGTTCTTTGAATGTTTGGTAAAACTCTGCCATGAAGCAATCTGGGCCTGGGCTTTTGTGTGCTGGGAGATTCTTGATTACATCTTCAATTTCCTTAGTTGTTATTGGTCTGGTCAAGTTTTCTATCTCTTCCTGGTTCAGGTTTGGGAAACTGTCCCACAGTGCTTTTGTGCTGTCTTCCTGTTTTTAACTGTTTTTTCCTTTTGTTTTTCTGATTGGTTAGTTTTTTCTACCCTGTTCTAATTCACTGATCTGGTCCTCAGGTTTCTCTATTCTGTTGCTTAATCCTTCAGATGCGTTCTTTATTTCTGTGCTGTCATTCTTCGTGTCCACTTCTCAGTGTTTCTATATCATTACTCATGGTGTTGAGCTTCCTCAAGATCATGGCTCTGAACTCTACCTCTGATAACTGGCTTAATTGCATTTCATTTATCTCATTCAGTAGAATTCTCTTGTTCTTTCATTTGGGATTAGTTTCTTTGTTTCCCCATTTTGGCTATCTCAGTGGGTTTTGGAGCCTGCCAAATTTTCCCTGTGGTTTTTGGTGTCCTGCTGTTTGTGGCTCCCTCTACTGGGTTTGGATGAGTGTGGGAGGATCCATGTTAAACAACACAGTTAAGTCTTACTTTCCTGGGTAGATTCGCAAGCCCAGGAAAGGTTCAGATTTCCTCTAGTTTTTGCCTGCAGGCTATTAGTCTCAGTTACTTGATGAGCCTTGGGTTGTGGCTCTCATCTTAGTGAAAAACTCCCTCAGGTATTCAGTGTAAGAGGATTTCCAGAAGGTGGGGCAGATGCTAGTTGTTAATGAGCCTCAGATTGCATTTCTGTGGCCCAGCTGGGTGGGGTTAAAATCTTCAAAGGAGTGGCTGCAGCTTCTCCCCAGGGCTCCAGGAAGTGGCTCCCTGAGCAAGAGGCCACTGTCCTGTGAGGGTTTAACTCAGCAAAAACTCTCAGAGCCCTCCAAATCAACAGTATCCTCATACAGGCAAGTCTGCCCTCCCTCTGCTGGAGCCCAAGGTGAGTGGCTGTAGCTAATTTAATGCTCTGTCCTGGCCCTCTGTGCTATGGAGCCAGCTTGGGATTTTAACCCTGAGGGAGCTTCTCACAGCTAAAACAGCTGCTGTCCGTGGGCTCCCAGCCCACCCTCACACCTCCGCAAACCTACCAGGCTCAATTCAGTGTCCTTTATTCCTGTCCCTGGTTATGTGTGTCCTCTCCAGCTGATTTTTTGTTGCTTTTTCCAGATGATTTGTCTTTTTTTAAGTTAATTCCAGTTTGGTCCTGGGAGATGGTCTGTGTATCTTCCATTCACTCCACCACCATTTTGGAATCGACACAATAAGTTTCTGTTGAGATCACTTATCCTTTCCATAGGGTTGGAGGGCTCTGTGGGGAACTCCCCATCCTACAGCTCTGACATACTGCACCTGAGCCATGGAGGTGACAGAGAAAGACCTTACTTGACCAGAAACTTTGCAAAATGTATACTACTTCACTCTTTCTACCATCTGCATACATTGGTGACTTTATCAACTGTAATTCCTGAAAGTTAAATATGGTTGCCCCCAAGAACTCATTTTATTCTCCATCTCACTCGTCTCTCTTGGTGCTTTTCTCAAAATGTCCCAAAGCACACAGCACACCAACAAGGGGATGTTTCCTGCACACCAGCCCTGCTGAGTGGGAGAGAGGGGTGCAGTCTAACTGTCTGATGGCCTCTTGTGCTGTCATTAAAATGTTGTCATAGTTTTGTACGGTTTTCTGTGTCTATGTTGTATTTTACGTTAAAAGGCTAGAAGTAGATGACAGGGTTCTACATAGCAATATGAAAAACCCTTAATGGTAGAAGATGAATGTTCGTGTTCTCTGGCTTACAAGCTGTCCCTAAGGCAGAGGGCTGCGGCTTTGCTGACAGACCATAGCTGGCCGCTGGCTGCCAGTCGATGAACTCCTCTTGGCTGTTACATTTTTGTGAGAAAAAGAATTCTGGGTTTTATGACAAAATGAAGAAGAGCACATTTTCCAATGCAGACACCTATCAGGCACAGACATTTTCAAGTGGTCAAATGAGAAGAGGAAGAAGAAATGACCAGGTGAGGAGAAGGCAGTCTCCTGCCAGCCCTTTCTGGTCTTGATCCACCTCCCCCAGAGATGATTCCAGGGCAGCCCCTGTGAAGCTGCTGAGCAGAAGGAAGGAGGTGGAAAACTGGACCTTCTCTTTTTCAGAAATGTGTGCCCAAGTTTCAAAACGAGGTCATGAAAACGCTTCAGGGCCAGCTTCACCAAAGTTCACTTGGCAGTTGCTATCAAGACGGTCAGTGGACACTTTATCTTCGCCAAGTCTGATATTGTGAGAAAGTGGTATAGGATCCTCTAAGCACAGAAACATGATGCTGATGTCGGAAAACACAGAGCTGGACCCCACAACACAGAGCTGGACCCCACAACACAGAGCTGGACCCCACAACACAGACATTGTCTGAGGACTGGAACGTCCCACCTGTGCGTCTAGCAAAACTCTCCATGTGGCCTGAGAGTAGCCTTGGGCCGCACTTTAAATGATTTACAAGCAATGGAGTCGTGCTGATTCCACCTGCTCCTGTCGGTATGAATGACCCCGAGGCCTTCCCCAGTCTCATCATCTGCGGGTGGTCCGCCCACTGGCTCAACCCAAGTCTCTGAAAAAGAGACGAAGAGATTGGCTAGACATGAAGGCATGCCCTCTCCCACCTGTCCTCTTCCCTTCTGCCCCCGAGAGCGCCTGCATGTACGGAAGGGTTGTCCTGGGCTTTGGGAGCGTGTGGGCTTCCTTCAGTAAGAGCAGCCTCTCCGCATGACTTCTGACCACCTGAAACGGGGCCCCTGGCAGGAGCCGTGGGGTCCAACAGGCGCCAGGGCACTTTCCAAATGCACCGAGAGAAGCAGCTCGGGGTGGCTGGCACTGTCTGCACAAATGTGTGGACACAAACCACAAGCACTGAGCCCCTCGGCTCACCGTCAGTGGGGCACCTCAGGGACCCACACTCAGCTGCTCTGGGGCCCGATGCCGGACAAAGGAGAAGGGAGCACATCAGCCTGCTGCCAGGCGTGAGTGACTGAAGCCATCGGGCATCTCTGACAGCCCAAAGGCTCACATTTTAACCAATGAATACGTTACTGACAGTGGTCTTTTTTTTAATCAGCCAAGCTGGTTTACGAAAGCAAGCCCTTCAAAGGCATGCAGTGCAAACACCATTTCTCTAACCTGCCTCACTTGTGAGAACTGAATGCATGATGGCAGAGACTTGGGAGGCACACGTGTTACATGGTTTAAACGGAGCATGGGCCTGTTGGCTGCTTCGAGGGGGGTTGCTCTGAAGAGTTTCAGGGGGCTCGGTTTGGTGAAAGTTTGTGGCTGAGCGCGGGGACTGAAAGGTCTGATCAGTGACGACCTATCCAGTGAACAAAGGTCTCGGCAGCAAAGCAACTCTGGACATGTCGCCACTGCTATACAGAAGCTTTGCCGAGACTGACAAGGAGAATAAGCGCCACTCAGAGTCTGCACTGCCGACTTTCAGGAAGCAGAGCATGGGCACAGACACCTGCCCCGAGCTGGAACCAGCCTGTGGGCTCCTTCCTGTAGAGCTTCCTGGCTCCTCTCAGTGGGGTTTGTGACCCCAGAGCCCCTGCAGTCTTTGTGAAAGAACCCAGTTATTCCTTTTGCCCTTTCTCCTGAACTGGGAGGACAGGGACGCAGACAAGGCCGGTGGGGACGCAAGGAGGGAGAAAGAAGTGTGACCTAGGCTTAAAGGAGAAAGCCCCAAAGTCCAGTTCCCAGTGCCACACCTTTGAGTGCTCGCTCTGCCCCAGAGATGCCTTGTTCTTCTCCCGAAACAGGTCCTGCATTCAGGTGCCCATGTGGCTCTCCTGTGAATGTCTTTCTATCTTATTTTGATCCTATCTGCCCTTCTTGTCCAGTGTAAACGCACCTCCTTCATTAAGGCCTTCCGCACCTGCCTCAGCATGCAGAGGACAGCATCGCAAGGGGTGGGGGAGGCCCCTGGCTGCCTGGTTTTGGTCCATGTTTTAATGCAAAGCCTCAGCTCTCCGCCCACCACCCTCCACAGGCCCACTGGGTCAGGTGCTGTGCTTTCTCTGTGGGCATTTCCAGCTCTGAGCGTGTGACTGCTGGAGTGGATGGTGGTGATGACTGGGCTGAAGGACCCTGTTGAAGTGACTCCCAAATAGCACGTCACCCAGAAGGACCAAATCCACCCACATTCAACAGCCATTCATCTCTTTTGGTAAAATCAAACCTGACATTTTACTGGGATGTTTCTGAAAAATACACAGGCAAGTACTGTTCTCCTCTAACAGAGAAAACCTCTCCTCCTCCTCTACACTCACTGGGAGCACACACATGCACCCACGGTCACCCACACACACACTCGCCTGCCTGGCGTACCAGCCTCGGGCTCCTGTTACAGCAGTGAGACACCACTGCTCCGCCCTGAGCACGCACACCAGCCTCGACACGTTTCTGGCCAGAGAAAACCCTTTTTCTTTCTGCCAGGTCATGGGCACTTGGTGGCATCATGTAGCTAGAATGATCGACACCCACTTCTTCCCTTTAAAAAAATATGGTTTTGTACCCGGAAGACAAACATTTGGAGATTTGAAGACAGACAGTTCAGGAATACACTGAGGTCTGTTGATGTCCCCAGTAAATAAACTGCTTAACTTTATAAAGAAACGAAACAAACAAAAGGATCACTGCAAAGCTGCCCCAGACTGGGAGCTGTCGTATCCACACCTTTCCCCTGCCCGTTGCAACCAATAGAGCCTTTTTGTTCTACTGTAAAAAGAAAAACATGCCAGCACAGCAGAACGTTGCTGCAGGTGTTTGTGTACGAGGTCACCAGGGCAGCGCTCCCTGCGGCTTCACACTCATTCTGAACACAAGGACGCACTCTGAGCCCGGACTTGTCACCTCTGTGGCCATACAGCTCAGAGTCATACGGCCTTGCCTCCAAGGAGCTGCCTTTGCCACTTGTTGAATTGGAAAGAAATATTTTGAAATAATAATTACACCTTGTAATTAATTACACAGACCTGGCTTCAGATGAGCTCACTGCATGATACAGACATGACCTCGTCTACCCGCTTCAGTTTCATTAAAGGAGCAGCATCTTACTGTCCTTTCACGGATGGTGAGCATCAAAGCCGCTGAGGGACGGCCAGTGCCCTGCCGGGGTTATGGACTCAGTCCAGACATGAAGCGGAGGCTGAGCATCTGTCCTCCACCTGCAGCGCCGAGAGTGGCGAGCCAGCCCTTGGTCTTCCTGCCTTTCTGGGTGTCACTGGGGGCCAAGCAGAGTTTAGAAAACCCAGCAGTCACCTTGGCCCTGGCTGAGACTTGGTCAGGGCTCATGGGACAGGTCTTCCAGGTGCACCTGCAGCGTTTGCCTGCACGTGTCAGCATGGCCACCCGCAGCCAGGCTCCCTCTTGGAAGGATACCCAGGGGTGCCAACAGGCACACGGGAGCCCTGGGCAGGCTGAAGGGCACTGGGACAGAGGCCTCATGCCTTCCTGGGCACTCTGGGCTGGGGCTGGGGGAGAACAGGGTTTAGGCAACGACCTGGGACTTCTTGGGGGGGGGGGGCTATGGTCCTTACCAATCAGCATTGCCCTCTGTCGCTTTGAAACTTGCTGGCTTAGGTGTTCACCTTTACTTGCTGGTTTGGTCCACAGGGGAATGTCTAGGGGAGGGTCTGGGATTTGGGATAGTGACAGAAGCAAGGGAGATAATCAAGGGACAGGAGCAGGGGTGGGAGGGGAACAGGGGAGCATAGCTGCTCACCAGCAAGAATGGACCTATTTTAGTATTTCAATAACTGGCACACTCTTGCCAAGGTCAGCCCTATTTCAAAGTCAAAGAAAGGGGACAGGACAGATTGAGTGCTTGTATGCTGTGCTGGGTCCCTGTGTCCATCAGCTCATGAAATACTGACGTGCTACCATGTGCCGGCACTGTCGGTGGACAGTGCTGAGACCTGCAGGAGCTCAGAGGTTCTGGGTGGCAGTGTATGTGCAGCTGAGTGTGCCAGGTCAAGGTTGACCCACAGGGCAGAAGCTGCTAGGCCCTCCTGGGCATTTGGCAGGCATATCAGGAAAGGGCAGGAATGGGAGCAGAGTCCCCCTCTCAGCAACCCTTATACGAAGGCCCAGAGTTTGGCCTGGCGTCGGGGGGAAGGACATTAAAGTTCTGCAGCTCCTTTGGAAACAGCTCTCAGGTTCCCCATCTCCCCCAGAAGAGAGCCCTTCTCAGTCCTTTCTCCTCCAGGGTTGCAACAACACTGTAAGCCAGCTTGCGGAGCTTTCTGTGGAAGAATCCAGTCATTGTTGAAAAATCATTGCAATTATCAGACAGTTTGCTAAGCAGTGAGATACAGCGAAGGCACGATTGTTCCACAGCTACGGCAGTGCGGGCTGGTGCTAAGCAGTGGTGGCAAAGACATGACCCCTTCCAACCCTGACAGGAGAGTAGAAACACTTCTGACTCAGTGCACGTACAAGATTTATTCAGACTTTCCCCCCAAAAGTGATGCTCCAGCGCTTTCCGGAGTAAGTGTTGTTGAGCTGCACTCTCCTCGGCGGTGCTGGCCCACACTGGAGGCCCTGGAAGAGCTCCTCTGGACATTCCTTGCCCCCTGCAGGAGCAGATGAATTCCAACACCAAAGAGTAAATTGTGTTCTACCTCCGCTCAGGAATTCCTAAGTCAGTGCAGGCTATGCCAGCCCCAAACGTACACCACGCCCTCCGGTGAAGAAGGAAGAAGGAAGGAAGCGGAAGAAGGACGGTTGCATTTGGTGTCTGTGCCCTCCAGGTCACTGGTGCTGTGACTGGGCAGGGCTTGCTTAGGGCCTTTGTGATGACTGGCAGGTCCGGCTGCAGGATGCTGGCTCTCCTGTGATTTTCCAGGACTGTTCTCATAGTCTTAGTACAATGGGGAAGCAAAATTTCATTACGTCTTGTCATTTTATTTGGGCCTAATCCCCCCTCCAAATTAGAAGATGTTTTTGTTGTTGAGAAGAAAGGAAAGTGGATTTGGGCATCACCCACTGCGATGGACTCCTCAGGGGCAGTTAAAATGTCGTCCATACCTTCTGGGCTGCCCTTCTGAGAGGCCGCCGGGGCGAGCCCCTGCAAACAGATGCTTCAGGCTCAGGACCCCACAGCGCACCCCCCTCCACTCCAGGAGCCTACCGCTCTCCGGAGGAGTGGGCGATGGAGGGTCTGCAGGGAAAGTGGGGGCTCTAGAGACGCAGCCACGCTGACAGGTCCAGAGCCTGGCTGCAGGAGCTCTGTCCTCTCCCCTTGGGAGGCTTGGACAATGAATGTAGCCCCTGGGAGCTGATTTTCTCAACTGTCCAATGGGGACAATCCAGGCCCACATCGTTGGGGCCTGCAGGTTGTCCTCACACCCCAGAGCCACCTGCATTGTGCAGAGGAGAAACGCAAGGGCACTTGCAATGCTGAGTATAACATGGATGAGCTGGCCACCTGGGTTTGGCTGGGATGAAGGCATTGCTGCAGGACCACATCAGCTGACCCAGTCAAGAGTGGACACAGTTCAACGGAAGGCCCAGCTGAGCTCCCCCTGAGCTGGGACTGGTTGGGAACAGGGTGACAGTCCTTGACCCTGTCCCGATCTGGTGCCCACAGGACCTCAGAGCAGATTCCCAAGTGGCCCACACCCAGCCTCACAGCCTTCCTCCAATGCTGAAGGGACATGGCCCACCCAGGAAGAAGGCCGAGCCCAGGTGCCTGGCAGCAGGGACACAGCATGACCATGGGTCACATGCAAGGGAAGGGCTCTGTCTGTCTGTCTGTCCTAGGCTCTGCTATGGTGCCCTTTCACCTCTGACACTGGCTGCCCTGGTTGACCCCTCTGTGCGGTCTCCCTCTGAAACTTTAGAGTGGTGACCTGCTCACTCTGCTTTCTCCCCAGAAGGGAGAAAGCTGGTGACTGGGGCTCTCCTGAGGAGGGGAAGGGAGGGTGGGCTTCTGCCTGAACGTCTGGGGCCCGCCACCCCTGCCCAGCCAGTGGCCAGAAATGTCCTCCCATCTGCCCTCTGGGCATAGAGAGCAGGCTCCCTGCTCTGAGGACAGCTTGCAGCAATCAGCTTTCACTTCAAAAAATTGCTCTGCCCCCTCCTGTCTGGTTGGCAGAAACCTGCCTTGGCCCTGTTGGAAAGGTATGTCTTTCTTCTCAGTCTTTTGACAAACAGGGCAACTTCTGTGATGAACAGTACACACAGCCATTGCTGACACCACAGCACGGCCTGGGGCAGTGGGGCAGCCGGCCGTGCTGGACGGCCTTCCCCGGGCGCCTGCACGCAGCCTGCTCTTCCCAAAGGTCCAGCAGATTCCAGCAGGGGCAATTTGACTAAAATACTCCCATTCACCCCAGAAAAAGTATGTATTCCCAGCAACTGCCATGCATGCTTAATGGAAATGAGGACGTTTGCCTAGAAACCCTGAGTCCCCGAACCTTCTCATTTCTACAGTGATCGGCACAGAAAACGAGCACAGGAAAGGGTGAAAAGAGAAAGCACAGAGAGGGGGTGCTGTCCTCTTGCACATATTTATTCTGGTAGCTTTCACAGCGTCCGCCCCACAGACGTGTGCTGGCTGCTGGCTGCTGGCTGGAAGGAGGGCAGCTCCCGTCCCCTGAGGACGGGTCACCGGACGTGCCAGTGACTTCCCAACCACAAGGCGAGTGCTCTGGGCCGGGAGGGCAGAGAAGGGAGACAGTGGGGCTCAGGGGAGAGACAGGCCTGTCTGGAAGACGGTGTCAGAGGCGAATCTCCTTAGAGGGGGCACCCAGTTTGCGCTTGGACGTGTGAGCTGGAGCCAGCCAGGGGACTCGGGAGGGGGGGCAGTTTTGTCATACGTGGAGAGTGGCAGGGAAGGCCTTTTGGGAGCGCAGTCTGGTATGCTGGGGAGCACCAGTAGGGGTCCCTTGGGGACTGGGGACTGGAGACCAAGCAGTGGAGGACTTTGCACAGTGAATGAAGAGTGGGCCACCAGGCAGCGGGGTCCATGGAAGGTTTTTAATTGATCAAATCGCTGTTTTAAAATAATCACTGGGACTGGAGTGGAGTGTGACTGAGGTTGGGAGCAGAATGATCAACTAACTAGGATCCTGTGGAAGGGGGCTAGAGGGAGGACAGAGAAACAGGGTGAGTTCGGGCAGGTGGCCGTGGCCCCAGGAAACTGAAGTGGGCTCTGTTCCCCTTTCACAGCAAGACCTCGCTCGCTCTGAACTGCCCCACCCTGCCGCCTTCTTGCCTGACAACCACACGGACACCTGGGCCCCACCTGGCCATGTGAACATTTCCAAGCAGGTCAAACTGGGATCAAGGTTCCCAGGGTGAGTATCGAGCACATCAGGGTACAGAGGTGGTGGGTGAGGATTCGACATGGTCCTGCTCTGTGGGCCTCTGAGGAGACAGCAGACAGTGAGCAGAGGCTCACAGAAGGGCAGGGAGATAACTGGACAGGGCTTGGTGACTGGACTGGCCCTGAGCTGGACCAAGAGGAAAAGGACCGAGTGGGGAGGGGTCCCTGAGAGCTTCAGGCAATGATGGAAAAACTGCACAAAAGCAGGAGGGAGAAAATGGCTGTAGGACCATAAGCACAGTGTCCGCACAGCAGGTGTGTACTGTTAGCCTTGAGCAGATAGATGGCCAGCTGAAAGTCAGATTCTGAATCTACTCTCACAGAATCTATTTATTTCTACCACTGAAACCTACCTTTAAGATCTGTACGAGGGCTGGAAAACCCTCCAAGCATTAAGTAGCTATAGCTTAAGTTTCTTACTAAATAACCGGACAGATTTGAGATACTAAAGAGAAATATTTTCCAGAAAATCATTAAGGAGGACATCCTCAATTCTCTACAGCAGAAGTGCAGAGAGTGTGATTATGGCCAGTGCAGGTGTCCTCTAGTTCCTAGCAGCCAAGGTCACATATCCATAAACTCAGAGAGAAGGCCCTGCTTGGTCTGAGGGGGCAGCCACCATGCAGCCCTTCCCAAAGCTCACTGTTCAGGAACAGAATTTGATTTTCTTCAGAGCTTAAAATATTGATAACTGATTCAAATTAAAACAAACAAACAAACATACATCTTGGCCAATACTAGGTGTGTCAAACCAAAATATTTTTTCTTTTTTAAATTTATCTTTACCAATGAACGCATTATAGATGTCCCCATTTTGTCCCCCACTGACCCCCAATTCTCCCCACTCCTGCCCCCCTCCTGCCTTCCTCACACTATTGTCTATGTCCATTGGTTATGCACATATGCATATCTATTTTTTGTTTATCTCTTCCCAGCCCTCCCACCCCCCTTCCCTCTGAGGTTTGTCAGTCTAACAACCCGTGTGTACTTCTTAACCCTGTCGCATTTCACTCATCCCCTCAACCTGCTTCCCATCTGGCAACCAACAAAAGTTCTTTGTATCTGTAAGTGTGTTTCTGTTCTGCTTGTTCATTTTACTTGTAGATTCAGTTGTTGATAGATATGTATTTATTGCCATTTTATTGTTCATATTTTTGATCTTCTTTAAGAAGACTCTTCAACATTTCATATAATACCAGTTTGGTGGTAATTAACTCCTTTAGCTTTTTCTTGTCTGGGAAGCCCTTTATATATCCATTGATTCTAAATGATAGCTTTTCAGGGTACAGTAATCTTGATTGTAGGTCCTTGCTTTTCATCACTTTGAATATTTTGCCACTTCCTTCTGGCCTGCAAAGTTTCTGTTGAGAAATCAGCTGACAGTCTTATGGGAACTCCCTTGTAGGTAACTAACTGCTTTTCTCTTGCTGCTTTTAAGAGTCTCTCTTTGCCTTTAACCTTTTGCATTTTGATGATAATGTGTCTTGATGTGGGCCTCTTTGGGTTCATCTTGTTTGGGACTCTGAGTGCTTCCTGGACTCCCTTTCCAAGGTAAGGAAGTTTTCTGTCATTATTTTTTCAAATAGGTTTTCTATTTCTTGCTCTCTCTCTTCTCCTTTCAGTACTCTCATAATGAGAATGTTGGTACACTTGAAGTTGTCCCAGAGGCTCCTTACACTATCTTCATTTTTTTGGAATTCTTTTTTCTTTTTGCTGTTTGGATTGGGTGTTTTTTTCTTCCCTATATTCCAAATCGATGGTTTGCTTCTTGGCTTCACCTACTCTACTATTGATGCCCTGCAAATCAGTCTTTATTTCAGTTAGTGCCTCCTTCATTTCTGACTATGCATCCTTCATTTATGACTCGTCTTTTTTATGCTCTTGAAATACTCAGTAAGTTTCTTGAGAATGCTTATAAGCAGTGTTTTGAATTCTGCGTTTGTTAGATTGCTTATCTCCATTTTGCTTAGTTCTTTCCCTGGAGTTTTGCTCTGTTCTTTCATTTGGGACATGTTTCTTTGTCTCCTCATTTTGGCTGCCTCCCTGTGTTTATTTCTATGTGTTAGGTAGAGTTGCTATGTCTCCTAGGCTTTGTAGGGTGACCTTTTGTAGTAGGTGTCCTGTAGGGTCCAGTGGCACAGCCTCCCTGATCATTTCAGCTGTGCACTCAAGGTGCAGCCCCCATTTGGACTGTACACCCTTCTGTTGTAATTGAATCTTGATTGCTGTTGGCACATCAGTGGGAGGGATTTACTCAGGTTGATAAACTGCAAGGACTGGCTGTGACCACAGACCACCAAACTCTGACCACCCTGGAGGATCACCTGTGCAGGGACCCACCACACAGAGCAACACTTCGGCAGGGCTCTGGTACCCACTGAATCCACTCCATGAGTGAGTTGCTTGTGGAGGTGTGATGGTGCTTTGATGTGGTCTGAAACTGTCAACAGGGTGTGTTGGTTCCAGGGCCTCCTGGGAGGTGCAGGCAAAAGTCAGCCTCTGCCTGTTTCCTACCCCAAAGCCACCAGGCATAAGCTACAAAGCTATCTTCAGATGGCTACTTATTGTGCTAAGCTTGAAGGTGCCCAGGTAGAGCCAAGCTGTGAACCAAGGCTAGGTGCTGCTAGTCCCAGGCCTGGGGCCACTTAGAGAGAAGTATGGGGCTCTGAGGCCAGATATTGGTTACTTAGATATTTTAAGAAAAACCAAAGCCCAAAACATATATTTGGTAATTCATTAATTTATTTTTGTTACAAATGTTTCTCCTTTTCCACCATTGACACCTTCCTCCCAATCCCCACTTCACAGTATTGTTGTCTATGTCCACTGGTTATGCATATATGCATGTACGTTCCTTGGTTTATCTCTTCCCACCCTCCCCTGCCCTCTTCTTTAGAGATTTGTCAGTGTGATTCCTACTTCCATGTCTCTGGGTCTATTTTCTTCATCAGCTTATTTTGTTCATTATATTTCACAAATAAGTGAGATCATGTGATGTTTGTCTTTCTCTGATTGGCTTATTTCACTTAGTACTCTACATGTCATCTCAAAGGATAAGAGATCTTTCTTTCTTACAGCTGCATAGTACTCCATTGTGTATATGTACCACAGCTTTTATATCTGCTCATCTACTGATGGACACTTGGGCTGTTTCCAGATCTTAGCTATTGCAAATAGTGCTGCTATGAACATAGGGGTCCATATACTCTTTTTGATTGGTGTTTCAGGCTTCTTAGGATATATTCATAGAAGTGGGATCACTGGGTCAAATGGAAGTTCAATTTTTAATTTTTTAGAAAATTCCATATTGTTTTCCACAGTGGCTGCACCAGTCTGCATTCCCACCAGCAGTGTACTAGAGTCCCCTTTTCTCCACACCCTTGCCAATACTTGTTGTTTGATGATTTGTTGGTGGTGGCCATTCTGATAGGTGTGAGGTGATACCTCATAGTTGTTTTAATTTGTATCTCTCTGATAATTAGTGAAGTTGAGCTTTTTTTTTTTACGTCTCTTGGCCATCTGTATGTCCTTTCTGGAGAGGCCTATTTAGGTCCTCTGCCCATTTTTTAATTGGATTGTTTGTCTTTCTTTTGTTGAGTTGTATAAGTACTCTATATATTTTGGAAATTAATCCCTTATCTGATATATCACTGACAATTATGGTCTCCCATACAGTGGGTTCCTTTCCATTTTGATGCTTGTTTTGTTTGCTTTGCAGAAGATTTTAGTTTGAAATAGTCCCGTTTATTATATTTTCCTTTGTTTCTCTTGCCCTAGGTAATGTATCAGTAAAAATTCTGCATGTGAGCCCTGGCCAGTTCGGCTCAGTGGTTGGAGCATCAGCCTGCAGTCCAGGGAGACCCGGGTTCAGTTCCCGCTAAGGGCGTGTGCCTTGGTTGCAGTTTGTTCCCAGCCCTGGTTGGGTTTTGTGGGTGGCGGCCACTCAATATGTCCCTTTCATTTCGATGTCTCTCTCTCTCTCTCTCTCTCTCTCTCTCTCTCTCTCTCTCTCTCTCTCTCTCTCCCACTCTATCTGAACAAGAAATGGAATAATATCCTTGGGTGAGGATTAAAAAAAATCCTGCATATGATATCTGAGATTTTGCTGCCTACATTTTCTTCTAGGATTTTTATGGTTTCATGAGTGACATTTAAGTCTTTTATCCATTTTGAGTTTATTCTTGTGTATGGTATAAGTTGGTGGTCTAGTTTCTTTCTTTCTCTTTTTGCATGTAGCTGTCCGATTTTCCCAACACCACTTATTAAAGAGACTGTTTTTACTCCATTGTATTCTCTTCCACCTTTGCAAATAATAGTAGAGCATAACGTCTTGGGTTCGTTTCTGGGTTCTTGGTTTTGTTCCATTGATCTATATGCCTGTTCTTATGCCAGTATCAGGCTGTTTTGATTACAGTGACTTAGTAGTATAACCTGATATTTAGTATTTTGATCCCTCCTACTTTGTTCGTCTTTTTCAAGATTGCTGTGGCTATTCGGGGACTTTTTTGGTTCCATATAAGCTTTTGGAGTATTTGTTCTAGTTCTGTGAAATATGTCATTGGTATTTTAATGGGGATTGCATTAAATCTGTAGATTGTTTTGGGTGGTATGGACACTTTAATGATGTTAATTCTTCCAATCCATGAACTAGGTATGTGCTTCCACTTTTTTATATTTTCCTCTATTATTTTTTTCAATGTCCTGTAGTTTTATGTGAACAAGTCCTTTACTTCTTTGGTTAAGTTTATTCCCAGGTATGTTAATTTTTTTTGGTTTCAATGATAAATGGGATTTTGTTTTAAGTTTTTTTTTCTGTGTGTTCATTATTGGTGTATAAAAATGCCAACAATCTGGATATTGATTTTGCATCCTGCTACTTTGCCAAATTCATTTATTAAGTCAAGTAGATTTTTGATGGAATCTTTAGGGTTTTCTATGTACAATATTATGTTATCTGCAAATAATGACAGTTTCACTTCCTCCTTTCAAATTTGGATACCTTTTATTTTTTCCTCTTGTCTGATTGCTGTGGCTAAGACTTCCAGTATTATGTTAAATAAGAGTGGCAAGAAGGAGCCTGTCTTGTTCCTGTTCTTAAGGGAAATTCTTTTAGTTTTCGCCCATTGAATATGATGTTGGATGTATGTTTGTCATATAGGGCCTTAATTAGGCTGAAGTATGAGCCTTCTGTTCCCATTTTGTTGAGAATTTTTATTAAAAATGGTGCTGGATTTTGTCATATGCTTTTTAGGCATCTATTGATATGATCATATGATTTTTATCTTTCATTTTGTTTATGTGCTGTTCACATTTATTGATTGTGAATATTATATCAACCTTGTATCCCTGGGATAAATTCCACTTGGTTGTGGTGTATAATTTTTAAAAATATATTGCTGGATTCTATTTGCTAAAATTTTGTTGAGGATTTTTGCATCTATGTTCAGTAAAAATATTGGTCTGTAATTTTCTTTCTTTTTTTTTAGAGTGTCTTTATCTGGTTTTGGTATTAGTATTATGCTCATGTCATAAAAGGAGCTTGGAAATCATCCTTCTTCTATAATTTTTATGGAATAGATTGAGGAAAACAAGTGTTAGTTCTTCAAATGTTTCGTAAAACTTCCCTGTGAATCCCTCTGGACCAGGGCTTTTGTTTGGTGGGAGTTTATTAATTACTGCTTTTATTTCCTTAGTTGTTATTGGTCAGTTGAGATTTTCTACTCTTCCCAGTTGAGTTTTGGAAGACTGCATGATTCTAGGAAGTTGTCCATTTCACCTTGGTATCCCAATTTGTTGGCATATAATTGTTCACAGTATTTTCTTACAATCCTTTGTATTTCTATGGTGTTGGTTGTTATTTCACTTCTTTTGTTTCTGATTTCATTAATTTTGGTCCTCTCTCTTTGTTTCTTGGTGAGTCTGGCTAAACGTTGGTCAATCTTGTTTATCTTTCTGAAGAACAAACTCTTGGTTTTATTGATCTTTTTTTTTTTTGTTGTTGTTGTTTTTTAGTCTTTATGTCATTTACTTCTGCTCTGATCTTTAATATTTCCTTCCTTCTACTAACTCTGGGTTTTTCTTTTTGTTCTCTTTCCAAATATTTAAGTGGTAGGGTTAGAGAGTTTATTAGAAAATTTTTTTTGTCTCTTGAGGTAGGCCTGTATTGCTATAAAATTCCCTCTCAGGATTGCTTTTGCCTTGTCCTATAGATTTTGTGTGGTTGTGTGTTCATTTTCATTAATTCCAGGAAGTTTTTATTTCTTTCTTGATCTTATTGGTGACCATACATTGTTTAATAACATGCTATTTAACCTCCCTATGTTTGAATGCTTTTGAGTGTTTTTAATGTAATTGATTTCTAGTTTCACACCATTGTGATCCGAGGAGATGTTTGATATGACATCAATATTCTTAAAGTTGTAGACTTAGTTTGTGTTCTAACATGTGGTCTATCTTTGAGAATGACCCATGTGCACTTGAGAAGAGTGCATATTCTGCAGCTTTGGGGTAAAATGTTCTGTAAATGTCAATTAAATCCAGCTTATCTAGTGCATTGTTTAGGGTCTCTGTTTCCTTATTAATTTTTATCTAGAAGATTTATCCAGTAGTGTCAAATGGGTGTTAAATTACCCTGCTATGATTGTATTGCTGTTGATCTCTCCCTTGAAGTCCTCAGAAGTTTTTTAATATTTATATGCTCCTATATTTGCTACATATATGTTTACTAGAGTTAGATCCTCTTGTTGGATTGATCATTTTAATATTATTTAGTGATCTTCTTTGCCTCTTATTATGACCCTCGTTTTGCTGTTCACTTGCTAGACATGAGTATTACAACAGAACACTGAGCTTTTTTGTTTGTTTCCATTTGCTGGAAAAAATTTTCCCATCCCTTCCCTGTCATCCTGTGTGAGTCTTTTGTTCTGAGGTGGGTCTCTTGTATATAGCATATATATGGGTAATGTTTTCTTATCCACTCAGCTACCCTATGTGTTTTAACTGGAACATTTAAGCCATTTACATTTAAAGTTATTATTGATAGGTACTTATTTGTTGCCATTTTTATTCTTTATGCCTGTGTCCTTCTCTCGCTATTTATTTTTCTTCTTGCAACAGTCCCTTTACCATTTCTTGAAGTGCTGGTTTGGTTGTAGTAAATTCCTTCAGCTTTTTTGTCCATGAAGCTCTTTATTTCACCTTCAATTTTGAATTATAGCTTTGCTAGATATAATAGTCATGGATTCAGATTTTTGCTTTTAATTACTTTTTATACTTCATTCCTCTCCCTTCTGGCCTGTAGTGTTTCTATTGAAAAATCAGCTGACTATCTAATGGGAACTCCCTTGTAGGTAACTTTCTGTCTCTTTCTTGCTGCCTTTAAGATTCTTTTATTGGCTTTAACACTTGCCATTTTAATTATGATTTGTCTCGGTGTGGGTCTTTTGGGGTACATCTTGGTTGTGACTTAGTGTGTTTCCTGGACTTCTGTGACTTTTTCTTTCACCAGGTTGGGAAAGTTTTTTGTTAATAGTTCTTCAAACTGGTTCTCTATTCCTTTCTTGATTCTTCTCCTTCTGGTACCTCTGTGATATAAGTGTGGTTACATTTTGTGTTTTCCCAAAGCTCCCTTAAACTCTCCTCCTGTTTATAAAATTTTTTTTTTTTTTTTTTTTTGCATTTGCTGTTCTAATTGGGTGTTTCTTTCTACCTTGTTTTTTAACTCACTGATTTGGTCTTCAGCTTCTTCTAATATACTACTGAATCCTTCAAAGGTATTTTTTTTTTTATTTTTTTATCAGCTATGTCATTCTTCATTTTCACTTTATTTTTCTTTCTAGTTTTACCTCTTTTTTATGCTGGTGTAGCTCTTTATAATTCTCATTAAGTTTCTTGTAGTTCTAAGTTGTTTGAGCACTCTTAAAATCATTGCTTTGAATTCTTTATCTGACATATTGCTTGCCTCCATTTCATGTAGTTCCTTTTCTGGTGATTCCTCCTTTTCTCTCATTTAGGGGTTGTTTCTTTGTCTTACCATTTTATTAGTCTGGTAGCTCATGGTCAGGTAAGGTGTGTTGGGCCATGTGGGCAGGTTGGTGTATATCAGATAAGACTGCTATGGCTCCTGGTCTTGGTGTGGTGGCCTTCTTGTGGGACTCGATAGAGTAGTCTTCTTTATCTTCCGAGATGGGTGCTCTAGGATAGACCCTTGTGTGGGTCATGTGGGATCTCCTGTTGAATTTGGGATTTGATTGCTGTTGTCCATGTGTGTGTGGGTTCAGTCCTTAGACTTGTTAACTATGAGTAGTGAAAACTTTTTGATAGTTATAAAAGCTTCAGTGTATCTTACTTTTTAAGGAAGTTTATTCCTGGCACATTTTTTTTTGCATTTGCTGAGCTCAGAGATTGGAAACTATAGATACCTGCTTTTTTTTCTGTTGCAGGCTTTGAAGAAGCAAACAACCTTGAGTTCAGAAGAGTTCTGGAGGCTGGAAGTCTGTTAGTAAGAGTCTGTTGAAATCTCTCTTCTTGGCTTGCAGATGGCTGCTTCTTGCTGTGTCCAAAGTCCAAAATATTTTAATGGTTGAACTCAAGACCTGGTTTTCATCCTTTGTGTTTAAAACTTAGAAACATAAGATTGTTTTATAAAAACATAAAAAGTAACACTGGCCAGGTAGCTCAGTTGATTGCAGCATCATCTCATGCACCAAAAGGTCATGGGTTTGATTCCCAGTCAGGGCACATATTCAGGTTATCGGTTTGATCCCTAGTCAGGGCACATGGGGAGGCTACCAATAGATGTTTTTCTCTCACATCAATGTTTTTCTGTCTCTCTCTCTCTCTCTCTCCCACTCTCTCTAAAAATCAATCAAAACATAAACTTGAGTGAAAAATTTTTAAAATGTAAAGGTTCATGAGTAACTTAAAAAAACAACAACCACCCTGGCCATTTTGGCTCAATAGTTAGAGTGTCGACCTGTGGACCAATGAGTCACAGGTTTGATTTCAGTCAAGGGCATGTACTTCAGTTGCGGTTCGTCCCTGGCCCTGGTCAGGTCATGCAGGAGGCAACCAGTCTAGGTGGCTCTATAACATCAATGTTTTTCTCTGTCTCTCTCTCTCCCTCCCTTACACTCTATTTAATAATAAGTAGAATAAATATCTTCAGGTGAAGAATAAACAACAACAACAACACATTTTTACCACAGAAACTTTAGTGAAGATATAACTGACCCTCACATAATAATAATCACTCTCAAGACAGAGTTTAAAAACAAACCAACCCCCCCTGGCAGTTATATATATTTCAAAGCAATTATTCCAATTACTCATTTAAAAATGACTTCTTTTGTTGAAATTACCAGAGAAAGAATTTTGACCCATTTTTTAGTTCCCTGGTCACTGAAACCATATGTTACTATATGTATTGGCTTTTTCTCTACATGAGGTAACTCAGATGCTCACTGAAGTAAAAAAGAAAAGCCAAGTTTTAGGGAAAGAGCACAGCTTGTGATCCATTAACCCCACTGTTTACTCGTCAGAGGCCTGAAGTCCAAGGACACTGAAGAAAAGGGCTCTGGTTCTATCCCAGCATTTGGGTCAACTTCTGGAAAGGTACAAACCAGCAACTAAGCAAATGTCTTTCTACCTTGTACATCTGTATGTCATAGCATTTCAAGAGCTGGCGCATTTCAGGCAATGACATAAACAAGGCTGTATCTTGTTGCAGAGATTTCCAGAAGGAAGCAAACAAGTCCCCTACCTTAGGCGAGGAATGAAACGTATCTCTGAAAACTCATTTTGTGCCTGGGGAGACTAATACTCCATATATACTTAACTAGCCCTAAGTGATAACTGGATGAATCTCATTCCAATTCATGTCAAGCTTAACTTATTAGCCTTTCCAGTTGGATAAAATAACAAGGAACATATTTTCATGAAGAAGTTTAATGGAAGGAAAGATGTTTTAACCACAAGGGCCCCTGTTGATTATAATAGGATGAAGAAATGATCAGAGGGCACAGACCAGAGTTTTGAATAAATGTACATTGACTGACTGACCCTCAATTACTTGTCAGCTCTGAAAGAAGGGTAACCGTATATAGTTAGAGAGGCTTTATCCTTGACATCTAGTTAGAACTTACCTAAAGATTGTGTAAGCAAAAGGGGCCTGGAGTCATTCTACACAGGAGCCTTCTTTAAAGACTGATGTGAACAAATTTTTTTGAGGAACAAAATGGAAGCTTACTTATTTTTCTTTATTTCTTCCCATGTTGACTTTTCAGATCCCATGATTGAACCAGGTGGCCAATCTGAGTTGCAAGTTAATAAAGACACTGGATTATTGGGGATCGCAACCCTGACGTGAAACTGCCAGTGACTCCAGGCAAGGTCCTCTATCCCCCTGTGAGGCCTGTCAAGAAAGTTAGGGCCAACTCCTGAGTTCCCTGATGATGAACCTGTCATCAGGTACATGACTTCTAGAGAAGACATTTCCAAAGATACTAAAAGACATTCAACAAAAACTACAATAGTAGGACAAGTGGGATATATTAATCCTTTTCCTCTCAGGTTGGTAAGTTGGAAGCATGACCTTTCAGGGTTGGTGGGTTTGAATAAGACAGCAGCCATGGGCCCATCTCTCCTAATTCCATCACCACCCATGTCCAAAGTAATCAAATCTTGCTGCGTCTGCTTCAGAAATATTTCTCTCTGATGTCATTGTCACTGCTCCAGATCTGATGACCCTCCTCACTGCTTACCCTACCTATGACAAAACCTCTTAACCCCCCTATGCTCCAACAGGGCAATCTGTGTTGCTGCTCCCACACTGTCTTCTCAATACACCAGAATTCTTCACAGGGCACACAAGGCCTACTCCAGCACCAGCCTACTTTCCCATCTCCCCTCTAGCTTTAGAGATAATGACCCTTTTTGTCATGTTCCTGTAGACCTTCCTGCCTTTGCCTCTTCTGCCTGGAATCCCTTTCCTACTCCATTCTAGTCTGTTGGACCTCAGCTTTTCCACTAGAGTCCAGCCACATGGCCTCCTCTTGGGAGTACTCTCTAGCCATCTCTGTTACTCTTCCAGAAAAGTCTAATCTTACCACTATTTAGAATTGCAACATTTTATGATGTTTATTGACTTATGTTGATCCTGTTAGTACCAGGATATCAGCTTATCAAGCCTTATGGAGAATATCTTAGTTCCAGAAATGGTACTGGCCACAGGGTAGTAATTAATTTAATATTAATGAGTGAATAAAGAAAAGGAAAAATAGATACCCACATGGATGGATATTTTAAACACTGCATTAATAAAACAGGGGCCATTCTGAAGACATCTTAATCTCTACCTCACTATCATGCTTTACATTGAGTAAGAACTAAGTGTACTTATGCTGAATAAAAATTATCATTCAAAGTGGAAGTACTTAGAACACTAAAGTACTGGAAAAGGTTTTATTTAAATATATACTTGTTTGCCTAGATTTCCATTTTCCAATGCAAAAGATAAAACTGAGAATGGTTAAAATATTTCACGTTTTCCACAATTCAATTATCACAATATCCATGTCAAATTACCCTTCTTCAAAATCTTGCTTCTTTTTCAGTTAGAATGTATAAATAAAAAGACTCTTTAGCATTATTTAAAATTTCAGGGTAAATAATATTACCAATACTTTATTCTAAATCAGCTGAAATTAGTATCTAAAATGTAGTTGAATTACATTTATTGATTGATTGATTTTAGAGAAGAAGGGGGAAAGAGAGAGAGGGAGAGGGGGAGAGAGAGAGAGAGAGAGAGAGATGATTTGTTGTTCTACTTATTTCTGCATTCATTGGTTGCTTCTTGTATGTGCCCTGACCAGGGACTGAACTCACAAACTTGGTGTATCAGGACAACATTCTAATCAAGTGAGCTACCTGACCAGGGTGTAAATTATAAATAAAGCATAAATTTAGATATATTAGTAACTTGGAAAATTCCCAAATGTTTAAACTGAATAAAAATATCACCCTCAAAAACTCATTAATTATAAAACAGCTGAATTCTAAGCTTTTTAGTGCAGTGAATTGCCAGTAGACATACCTTGAGGGGTCTTTTCAAGTGATATGGTTAATAATGAGTCATAAATGCTTGTATTTTATAGTTACAATCCTACTCTCTTGAGTTCTTGGTTTCTCACACTCTGTAAAATGCCTTGACAATAGTTGCAGTATTCATTATCAAGAAAGACCATCTAGAAAGGAGATGAAAAATGATTTCCTTCTTCAGGCTACTGAATAATTAACTGCTCTACATGGAACTGCAAGCTGCAGAAGAGCCTGCCACTCCCTGGGACTGCCAGTGACAGAGGGCTCCACCCCCACCCCCATGGGACCCACCAGCAGCAGAGAGCTGCCAGCACCACAGTTCCCCCCCACAGCAGAGAGCCACCATCTTACTAGCCCCACTGGAGCAAAGAGCCACTGGCCCTGCAGTTGCTGCAGAGAGCCACTAGCACCCCCAGATGACTGGACCAGATCAAAGATCCAGTGCACAGGAATTGCCATAACCTGATGCCCCTGGATGCACTGACCTACTCCCATGATCCAGCCTGCCCCATCTGGCCCCAGACCAGTGGACCAATAAAATGGTGAGAAAAAGAAACATCCTGCAAATGAAAGAAAAGAAGGAATCACCAGAAAGGAACTACATGAAATGGAGGCAAGCACTTTATCAGATAAACAATTCAAAGTAATGATTATAAGGGTGTTCAAACAACTTAGTGAAAATTACAAGGAACTCAATGAGAATGGTAAAGAACTCAGTGGAAATTACATCAGCATGAAACAAAAGAGGTAGAAGCTATGATTAAAAATCAAGTGGAAATGAAGAATGACATGACTGAAATAAAAATACACAGGAAGGATTTAGTAGTAGATCAGAAGAAACTGAAGACCAAATCAGTGAGTTAGAAGACAAGGTAGAAAGAAACACCCAATTAGAGCAGCAAATGCAAAAAAAAAAAAAAAAAAGGCTAAAGAAATTTATTACCACCAAACTAGCACTGTAAGAAATGCTAAAGGGACTGCTGCAAGAAAAAGAAGGAGGAGGAGGAGGAGGAGTTGGAGGAAGAGAAGGGGGAGGATGAGGAGAAAAAGAAGAAAGAGGGAGAGAGAGAGAGAGGGGAACACAGGCATAAAGAATAAAAATGGCAACAAATAAGTATTTATCAATAATAAACTTAGCCCTGGCCAGTTTGGCTCAGCGGTTAGAGCGTCGGCCTGCGGTCTGGAGAGACCCGGGTTCGGTTCCCGCTAAGGGCACGTACTTCGGTTGCAGTTTGTCCCCGGCCCTGGTTGGTCGTGCGGGTGGCAGCCACTCGATGTGTCCCTTCACGTCGATGTTTCTCTCTCTCTCTCCCTTCCTCTCTCTCCCTCCCACTCTATCTGTACAAAAAAATGGAAAAAATATCCTCGGGTGAGGATTAAAATAATAATAATAATAATAATAATAAACTTAATAATAAACTTAAATGTAAATGGCTTAAATGCTTCAATTAAAAGATATAGGGTAGCTGAATGGATAAGAAAACATAACCCATATATATGCTGTCTACAAGAGACCCACCTCAGAACAAAAGACTCACACAGGATGACAGTGAAGGAATGGAAAAAATTTTTCCAGGCAAATGGAAACAAAACAAAACAAAAAGTAAAGGTAACAATACTCATATCTGATAAAATATACTTAAAAGTGAAGGTCATAGTAAGAGACAAAAAAAGGTCATTATATAATATTAAAAGAATTATTCCAACAAGAGGATATACGTCTGGTAAACATGTATACACTCAATATAAGAGCACCAAAATATATTTTAAAACTTCTATAGGACTTGAAGGGAGAGATAAACAGCACTACAATTATAGCAAGGGACTGTAACACCCCTCTGACACCAATGGATAGATCTGGACAAAAAATTAGCAAGAAAACAGAGACCCAAAATGATGCACTAGATTAGAGGCATTTAATTGATATCTACAGAATGTTTCATCCCAAAGCTGCAGAATATACATTCTTCTCAAGTACACACAGGATATTCCCAAAGATAGACCACTAATATGTCTATTCAAATGCATGCAGGCTAAATAGCATGGTATTAAACAATGAATGGGTTGCCTAGAGATCAAGAAAGAAATAAAAAACTTTCTGGAAACTAATAAAAATGAATACGCAAAACAAATTCTGTGGGACACAGCAAAAGCAGTCCTAAGAAGCAAGCTTTTGGCATTACAAGCCTACCTCAAGAAACCAGAAAAATTTCTAATAAACTATCTGATCCTACAACTTAAAGAATTAAAAAGAGAAAAAGATGGAAAAATCCAGAGTAAGTAGAAGAAAGAAAATAATAAAAATCAGAGTGGAAATAAACGGCATGGATACTAAAAAAATAAAAAAAATAAAAACCACAGAAAAACAATAAAAAGATCAATGAAACCAAGAGATGGTTCATTGGAAAAAAATAAACAACACTGACCAACCTTTAGCCAGACTCATCAAGAAACAAAGAAAGAGGACTCAAATTAATAAAACCAGAAACAGAAGATGCGAAGTAACAACTGACACCACAGAAATACAAAGGATTTTAAGAAAATACTATAAGCAGTTATATGCCAACAAATTGGACAACCTAGGCAAAACAGACAATTTCTTAGAATCATGCAGTCTTCCAAAACTCAACTGAGAAAAGTCAGAAAACCTGAACAAACCAGTAGCAACTAAGAAAATAGAAAGAGTAATCAACAAACTCCCAGCAAACAAAAGCCCTGGTCCAGTTGGCTTCACAAGGGAGTTTTACCAAATATTCAAAAAAGAACAAACACCTGTTCTCCTCAAACTATTCCAAAAAATTCAAGAGGAAGGAGATTTCTAAGCTCTTTTTTTTGTTGTTGTTAATCATCACTCAAGGATATTTTTCTATTTATTTTTAGATACAGTGGAAGGGAGGGAGGGAGAGAGAGAAAGAAAGAGAGGGAGGGAGACAATCAATGAGAGAGACACACATTGATTGTTTGCTTCCTGCATGACTCTGACCAGGGCCAGGGATCTAACCTCCAACCCAGTACATGTCCCTGACTGGGAATCAAACCCAAGACCTTTGGTCTACAGGCCAGTGGTCTAACTGCTGAGCACACCCGCTAGGGTAACTTTCAGGCTCTTTTTATGGGGTCGGCATTATCCTAATTTCAAAACCAGATAAAAACACTGCAAAGAAAGAAAATTACAGGCCATGATTTCTGATGGGCATAGATGCAAAAATCCTCAACAAAATATTAGCAAATTAGATCCAGAAATATAAAATAAAAATTATTCATCATGACCAAGTGGGACTTACCTTAGTGACACAAGGCTGGTACTATACTCATAAATCAATAACTGTGATATACCATATACACAAAATGAAAGAGAAAAATTATGTAATCAACCCTGGACAGTTTGACTCAGTGGTTAGAGCAATGGCCTGCAGACCAGAGTCATGAGTTCAATTCCAATCAAGAGCATATACCTCGGTTGTAGTCTGGTCCCTGGCCCTGGCTGTGTATGAGGCAACCAGTCAATGTACCTCTTTCACATCAACGTTTCTCTTTCTCTCTCTCTCTCTCCCTCAAGCACACTCTCTTTGAAATAAGAGGGAAGAAAATACCCTCGGGTGAGGATTTAAGAAAAAATTATATGATCATATCAATAGATATGCTGAAAAAGTATTTGCCAAATCCAGAACCACTTTTTGATAAGAAGTCAGCAAAGTGAGAATAGTGGAATCATTCCTCAACATAATAAAGACATATAGGACAAACCTATAGCCAACATCATACTCAATGGGCAAAAACTAAAAGCATTTCCCTTAAGAACAGGAAAAAGACAGGAATGTCTGCCCTCACTACAGTTTGTCAAAATATTCTTAGCCCCGGTGATGAAACAAGAAGAAAAAATAAAAGACATCTAAATTGCAAAGGGGAAAGTGAAACTGTCATTATTCACAGATGACATTATATTAGACATAAAAAACCCTAAAAACTCCACCACAAAACTTCTAGGTTTAATAAATGAATTCAGCAAATTAGCAGGATATAAAATTAACATCCAGAAATTGATGGCATTTTTATACACCAATAATGAATACTCAGAAAGAGAAACTAAAAAAAATCCCATTTACCATTGCAACAAAAAAATTTAAGATATCTAAGAATACTTAACAAAGGAGGTAAAAGACCTATTCGCAGAAACCTACAAGACATTAAAAAGAGATATAAAGGAAGATATAAAAAAATGGAAGCATATACCATGCTCATGGTTTGGAAGAATCACCATCATTAAAATGTCCATACTACCTAAAGAAATATATAAAGTCAATACAATCCTTATAAAAATAGCAATGGTGTATCTCACAGATCTAGAACAAATACTCCAAAAGTTTATATGGAACCAAAAAAAAAAAAAAAAAAAAAAGACCCTGAATAGCCATCACAGCAATCTTGAAAAAGAAGAACAAAGTGGAAGGGATCACACACTGGATATCAGGTTATACTACAAACCCACTGTAATCAAATCAGCCTGGTTCTGGCACAAGAATAGGCATGTATATCAATGGAACAGAACAGAAAAGAGAGCCCCAAAATCAACCCTTTCCCTTATTATCAATTAATATTTTACAAAGGATGCAAGAGCATACAATGGAGTAAAGACAGTCTCTTCAGTAAATGGTGTTGGGACATTGGGCAGGTACATGCAAAAAAATAAATAAATAAAACTAGACCACCAACTTATACCATACACAAGAATATACTCAAAATGGATAAAAGACTTACATGAAACTTGTGAAATTTTAAAAATTCTTAAAAAAATATGTAGGCAGCAAAATCTCAGACATCACACACAGCAGAATTTTCACTGATACATTTCCTAAGGCAAGAGAAACAGAGAAAAAAGTTAATAAATGGGAATACTTCAAACTAAAAAGCTTCTGCACAGCAAAAGAAACCAGCATCAAAATGAAAAGGGAACCCACTGTATGGGAGAACATATTTGCCAATGATACATCGGATAAAGGGTTAATTTTTAAAATATATGAAATACTCAGACAACTTAACAAAAGGAAGGCAAACAATCCAATTAAAAATGGGTAGGGGCCCTGAATAGACACTCTCTAAAGAGGACATACGAATGACCAAGAGACACATGAAAAAGTGCTCAACATCTCTGATCATCAGACAGATGCAAATTAAAATGACTATGAGCCCGGCCAGTGTGGTTCACTGGTTCAGCATCAACCCATGCACCAAGAGGTTGCCGGTTTGATTTCTGGTCAGGGCACATGCCCAGGGTTTGGGTCCGATCCCCAGCGCAGGGCATGCAGGAGGCAGCCAATTGATGGTCTCTCTCATCAATGTTCCTATCTCTTGCTCCCTCTCTCTTCCTCTCTGTCTAAAATCAATAAAGAAAAAAAGACTTAAAAAAAAAAAGAGACTATGAGGTATCACCTCACACCTGCCAGAATGGCTGCCATCAACAAATCATCAAATAACAAGTGCTGGTGGGGGGGGGGGGGGTAGGAGCAGGAAGGAGGTTGTCAATGGGAAGGAAAAATGCATACTTTATCAGCTTCAAATTGAGGTAGTTTCGGTAGCTTCAATTTTGATGTCACAACTCCAGGGCCTGTACCAACTTTTATAAAGGTCATCTACCATTGACATCTTTCTCTCTAACTGCCTCCATATTCCCTACTCCCAGTTTCTAGAAAATTTACATATCTCTTACCTTCTTCATAATGGGAGGTACTCACTCTAGAAAATGACAGAATGGTCCCAGGTGCAACCTTTTTATAGGATGAGAGGGGAAGACTGAATTTCCTGACCACCACCAAATCCAGGATTAAATGTTGGTCCTGATGGGTCTTGGAGAAGGCAACTATTACTCCATCTGGGACAACAATCTTAATAGGCAAATAAGAAGACACTTAACTGCCCAAGGTATCAAAGGCACAAAAAGTTAGTCTCCTCCTGGCATGCAAACCTACCCTTTTGTAAGAATACTTCTTTGCCAGTTCTTCCTCCCAGAATGAACATCTCCTGAATTCAGACAAAGACAATTCAACTGGGTCTGTTATTAGTGAATGACTTTCACACTGGGAAACCATTTACACAATAGATTATTTCTTTAAAATAAAATGTATTTTCTCACATGTATATCATGTAATAATCACATCAGTTGTATAGATTAATGTTCTATGTAATATTTTATCCATACCTCTACATACATTATTGATCCAAGCAACTATTCCCCTCATTTCATTTAAAAAGATACTAACCTTCCTTTACAGTGCTATGAATTATGGTCATGAGGAAAGAGTTAGAACTTAATATATTACCCAAATATATCATTTGTGTGGTCAGGTATTACAAGTGTTGTATACTAATGTATAATCAAAATAATATCTATAAATAATTTTGTGTCACAGATACATTTTAAAAATATTTTAATTTATTTCATTAATTTATTTTTGTTGCAGATGTTTCTATTTATTCACTCATTGATACCCTCCTCCCAAACCCCCCCACCCCATCCCCAGCATTGTTGTCTATGTCCATTGGTTACACATACATGCATATAAGTTCTGTGGTTTATCTCCTCTCTCCCCCCCAACCCCTCTTCTAAGGTTTGTCAGACTGTACCTTATTTCTATGTCTGTGGGTCTATTTTGTTCATCAGTTTGTTTTGTTCACAATATTCCACAAATAAGTGAGATCATGTGATATTTGTCTTTTTCTGATTGGCTTGTTTTGATTAGGATAATACTCTCCAAAAGATATCTTTCTTTATTACAGCTGCATGGTATTCCATTGTGTATATGTACCATGGCTTTTTTATACACTCATCTACTGATGGACACTTGGGCTGTTTTCAGATCTTAGTGATTGTAAATAGTGCTGCTATGAACATAGGGATACATATATTCTTTCTGATTGATGTTTCAGGCTTCCTAGGGTACTGTATATTCCTAGAAGTGAAATCACTGGGTCAAATGGCAGTTCAATTTTTAACTTTTTTTTTTTTTTTTTAATCCTCACCCGAGGATTTTTCCATTTTTTTGTACAGATAGAGTGAGAGGGAGAGAGAGGAAGGGAGAGAGAGAGAGAAACATCGATGTGAAGGGACACATCGAGTGGCTGCCACCCGCACGACCAACCAGGGCCACGGACAAACTGCAACCGAAGTACGTGCCCTTAGCGGGAACCGAACCTGGGTCTCTCCAGACCACAGGCCGACGCTCTAACCGCTGAGCCAAACTGGCCAGGGCCAATTTTTAACTTTTTGAGGTAACACCATAGTGTTTTCCATAGTGGCTGCACAGTCTGCATTCCCACCAGCAGTGTTCAAGAGTCTCCTTTTCTCCACACCCTTGCCAGCACTTGTTGTTTGATGATTTGTTGATGGCAGCCATTGTGGCAGATGTGAGGTGATACCTTATTGTTGTTTTAATTTGCATCTCTCTGATGCTTAGTGATGTTGAGCATTTTTTTATATGTCTCTTGGCCATTTGTATGTCCTGTTTAGAGAGGTGTCTCTTGAGGTCCTCTACCCATTTTTTAATTGGGTTCTTTGTCTTCCCTTTATTGAGTGGTATGAGTACTCGATGTATTTTGGAAATTAACCCCTTATCTAATGTATTGTTGGCAATTATGCTCTTCTATATAGTACGTTCCTTTTCCATTTTGATGGTTTTTTGTTGTTGTTGTGCAGAAGTTTTTTAGTTTGATGTAATGTCATGTGTTCATTTTTTCCTTTGTTTCTCTTGCCTTGGACATTGTATCAGTAAAAATTCTGCTGCATATGATGTAGGCCTGTAGTGCTATGAACCTCCCTCTTGGGACTGCTTTCACTGTGTCCTATAGATTTTGTGTTGTTTCGTGTTCATTTTCATTGGTTTCCAGGAAAGTTTTAATTTCTTCCTTAATTTTCTCAGTAACCCATTCATTGTTAAGTAACATGCCATTTAGCCTCTATGTGTTCAAATGTCTTTGCATGTTCTTGTTGCAATTGATTTCTAGTTTCATGCCATTGTAATCTGAGAAGATGCTTGATATGATTTCAATCTTCTTGAACTTGTAGAGACTTAATTTTTGCCCTAACATATGGTCTGTCTTTAAGAATGTCCCAAGTGCACTTGAGAAAAATGTGAATTCTGAAGTCTTGAGGTATAATTCTCTGTAAATATCTATTGAATCCATTTGATCTAGTGCTTCATTTAGAGTCTCTGTTTCCTTGTTAATTTTTTGTCTAGAGAATTTATCCAGTGATGTCAGTGGGATGTTGAAATCCCCTGCTATGATTGCATTGCTGTCAATTTCTCCTTTGAAGTCCTCCAGAAGACTTTAAAAATATTTTGGTGCTCCTATATTGGGTGCACATATATTTACCAAGGTTATATCTTCCTGTTGGATAAATCCTTTCAATATTATGTAGTGGCCTTCTTTGTCTCTAGTTATGGCCTTTATTTTGAAATCTACTTTATCAGATATGAGTATTGCTACCCCAGCTATTTTTTCCTTTCCATTTGCTTGGAAGATTTTTTCCCATTCTTTTACTTTCAACCTATGTGAGTCTTTTGTTGTGAGGTAGGTCTCTTGTAAACAACATGTATGTGAGCCATGCTTTCTTGTCCAATCAGCTATTCTGTGTCTTTTTATTAGAGCATTCAATCCATTTACATTTAAGGTGATTATTGATATGTACTTTTTTATTGCCATTTTTGTTTAGTGTGGTTACATTTTTCTTCCCATTTCTTCTACTAATTACATCAGTCCTTTTAACATTTCTTGCAGTGGTGGTTTGGTGCTAATATATTCCCTTAGTCTTTTTTTTTATTTGTCTGGGAAGCTCTTTTTCCCACTTTCTATTTTGAATGATAGCCTTGCTGGATAGAGAGTAGTCTTGGATTCAGATCCTTGTTTTTCATGACCTTGATTACTTCATGCCATTCTCTTCTGGCATGTAGTGTTTCTGTTAAGAAGTCAGTTGATAGCCTAATGGGGTTCCTTTGTAGGTAACCTGTTGCCTATCTCTTGCTGCCTTTAGGATTCTCTCTTTGTCTTTAATTTTTGGCATTTTACTTACTATGTGTCTTGTTGTGGGCCTGTTTGGGTTCTTCTTACTTGGGGCTCTCTGTGCTTCTTGAACTTGAATGCTTTCTACCTTCACCAAATTAGGGAAGTTTACTGTCACTATTTCTTCAAGTATATTTTCTAACCCTTGCTCATTTTCTTCTTTGGGAACTCCCATGATGAGAATATTATTACATTTCCAGTTGTGCCACAGTTCTCTTCAGCTGTCTTCCTGTTTTTTAATTGTTATTTCCTTTTGGTCTTCTGATTGGTTGATTTTTATACCCTATTTTCTAATTCACTGATCCAGTCCTCAGCTTCCTCTACTCTGCTGATTAGTCCTTCCAATGTGTTCTTTATTTTTGCTATGTCATTCTTCATTTCTTCTTGGTGGTTTTTTATTTCCAGTTGGTTGATTTTCAATGTTTCTATATCTTTACTCATGGTGTTGATGTTCTTACTCATGCTGTTGAACTTCCTCAAGATCATGGCTCTGAACTCTACCTCTAATAACCTGCTTAGCTGTATTTTATTTATCTCATCTTTGGTAGAGGTCTCTTGTTCTTTCATTTGGGATATGTTTCTTTGTTTCACTATTTTGGCTATCTCAGTGGGTTTTGGAGCCTCCCAAATTTTCCCTGTGGGTGTTGGTGTTTATGGCTCCCTCTACTGGGTTTGGATGAGTGTGGGAGGATCCATGTTAAACAACACTGACAAGTCATACTTTTCTGGGTAGATTTGCAAGCCCAGGAAATGTTCAATTATCCTCTAGCTTTTTGCCTAGAAGCTATTAGTCTCAGTTACTTGAAGAGCCTTGGGTTCTCAGTTGAAAAAAAAAAAAAAAAAAACCTCCCTCAGGTGTTCAGTAAGAGGATTTCCAGAAGGTGGGACAGATGCTGATTGTTATTGAGCCTCAATTTGCATTTCTTTGGCCCTGCTGGGTGGAGTTGAATCTCTGAGAGAGGGGCTGCTGCTTCTCCCCAGAGCTCCAGGATGGAGCAAGATGACCCCCATCCTGAATGACTGCAACTCAGCAACAACTCTCAGCACCCTTCAAATCCAGAGTGTCCCTACACTGTTCCAGTCCAGTCTGCCCTTCCTCTGCCAGAGCCCAAGACAAGTGGCTGTAGCTAATTTAGTGCTGTCTTGGCCCTCTGTGCTGTGGAGTCAGCTTGGGATTTTAACCCTGAGGGAGCTGCTCACAACTAAAACCACTGTTGTCTGTGGGCTCCCAGCCCCCCTCTCACACCTCCACAGATCTACTAGGCTTGATTCAATGTCCCTGGTTATATGGTCCTCTCAAGCTGCTTTTATGTTGCTTTTTCCTGATGATTTGTCTTTATTTTAGTTGTAATCCCATTTTGGTAGTGGGAGATCATCTGTGTAGCTTCCATTCATTCCACTGCCATTTTGGACCAATCTTGTTTATCTTTTCAGAGAACCAGCTCTTTGTTTCATTGATCTTTTGAATTATTTTTTTAGTCTCTATGTCGTTTATTTCTGCTCTGACCTTTACTATTTATCTTCTTCTACTTGCTCTGGTTTTTTCTTTTTGTTTTCTTTCTAGTTCTTTAAGTTGTAGGGTTAGAAAGTCAATTAGACATTTTTCTTGTTTTTTGAGGTAGGCCTATAGTGTTATGAACTTCCCTCTCAGGACTGCTTTTGCGGCATCCCATAGATTTTTTGTTATTTTATGTTTGTTTTCATTAGTTTCCAGGGAGTTTTTCATTTCTTCCTTGATCTCCTTGGTAACCCATTAATTGTTCAATAAGAGACAAGAAGGTCACCACAAAAAAAGAAACTTAATAAGAATTATGAAGAGCTCAGTGGGAACTACTTTGGCTTTTAAAAAGGTGGGGGTAGAAGCTATGAATAAAAATCAAGAGGAAATAAAGAATGACATAGCTGTTATGAAAAATACCTTAGAAGGATTCAATAGTAGATTAGAAGAAGCTGAAGACCAAATCAGCAACTTAGAAGACAAGGTAGAAATAACCACCCAAATAGAGCAACAAATAGGGAAAAAAAATTAAAA